GAGGGCGGGAGGTGCGCTTCAATCCAGGTAAGACACATCATTTTATATGTTTAGCGGAAAGTTGCAAAGAAATTTATATTTTTATTTTTTACTATATGGGACCTCTAAACCATCGACGATTCTCGTCGAAATTTGATGGAGCATTCTTAGTGGCGTCATTTGTTACGATTTCTGACGTTGGTACCCATCGCCATTCACATGGTCTGCTGTGCTCTTGAATTTCATCCAATGAGTATCAGGGAAATCGGTTCTGAATACGCGTTCTACTATTGCTTATCTCATTTCCTTCTGAACTAATACAGCTAGTCTGCTACCCGTAAGAACTGCTTGTAACTCAAGCCTTGAAATATGAGTCGGCTTGAGCTGTACTATTCGTGCCTTCGCAGCCAGTAGTGTAACCTTCCTTTCTTCGCTATACTAATGTTTTTTTTTAAACTTCACATTCGGCGTGAATCATATCATTTGCAAAAAGGCAAAGCTCGAACTTCGTGCGGTTATTAATTATTTCTGCCTGAAATGTTTTTCTACGATGTTGCAGGCACTGCTATTCCAACTGCTGGATTTCATATTCATATTATAGTATGTGTCATACCATTTTGGAATCCAGACTAAACGCGCCATCTTTTAAAGTTACTTGCCAAATCAGTGTAGTACATTTTTTATGTTCAGTCGGTTATAGTGGACGATATAATTATATTGAATTCAATGTTGAGCAAAATTGTTTATACTTTTAACTGTAATTTACAGAAGGGTTACATTATCGAAATAAAAAACAGACGTAAAGTTAATATTTGTAGTCACATCACTTGAAAGATCATCACAGTATGTCAGTATTTAAGATTTATTTTTGAATCCTTATCATTTGAATAGTACGTGATCAATTTTTTTTTATATTTTCTAATAACTGTCACGACGGCCAATTGACCGTTTTCGGATTGACGTTGATTTCTAGGACACATGATATAGGCTCCCTCAAACTCTTTAAAGCTTGTGTCATTTGTAAATTTTCAAACCTTAGTCTTAATAAGCTTTACTGATTTTCAAATCTCCATTAATTACTTATAAGGACGGACTCTAAATGGATTTGATAGATGGACAAAAATGTGTTTTATATTAGTAGTAGTAAATGTACCCATTTTTCTTAATTTTTTTACGGATAAACACTAAATCATCACGATCACCTCATAACGTGAACAAAATCAATATAATTAGTAAATATAACTTAATAATATAATTTAATTTTCTGTTAAGGTACCCTACGAAAGAGTGACTTTTAACTGATAACTGACTTAAATTTTTAATAATATATCTATTCCTTTGGGGTTTATATTTGAGACAAAAGAGTTTATAACTCGGCAGGTGCAGAAGATCTACAATCACTGTTATTATGTCACAGACCAATTCCATGAAATTTTAAGTAATAAATCGAACGAATGACAGAAACGCTTGAGGCGATTGATTTAAGTATATATATATATATATATATATATATACTATATATATATATATATATATATATATATATATATATATATATATAATTGTAAGAAACAACGTGTTTGAATATAAATGTACTATAGTTTTATGTTTATCGCTTATGTTCATCGCTTTTATCGTAATTTGATTTTTTTTTTCAAAATAAGCGGGAATCAGATTTTAGCGAACTTTTATTTTATTAAAGTAATCGTGTTCAACGAGCACACCGTCCACCTAATCTTAAGTGGATTTTTCCCGTGGCCCACGTACATATACATCTACCTTTACTTAGGTACAACCTAAGTATCAAAACGCAGCTGTACGTCCTTTGAGGACCGAGATGGAATGCCTCGTTACCAGTAAATAGCTCACTGGTTTTCGTTACTTCCAATAGCAAACACAGCAACATAATGCTAATATTTAAAGCTGTTACATATTTTGTGCGAGTGAGTTCTTTCCCCGGTTAAGCCGACCTATTCGTGCTGGGATATTTTTAGTTCTATGTCTTTTTTATAGAATAGGAAACAAACAACAAACGAGTACACAGTCCACGTGATGGTAAGTGAATGATGTGGCCCATAGGCATCTACATTTATCCTCCTTTGAGAATCAAAATGCAAATGCGTTGCCATCCTTGAGGATTAAGATGGAATGCTTCAATTCCAGTTAAAAAGGTCTCCGGTTCTCTACAATCAACATACGTACCACAGCAGCATTGATCTGCTATTTCATGAAGGTATTATGTGAGGGCGTGGTCCTACCCCGGTCGAGCCAACCCATTCGTGCCACAACTATAATATACAGGCTGCAGCTTGGCTCTATCATAAATTTTCAATTTCTCCTTGGATTTTCACGGTTTAATGAGAAAAAAGCTGGAGCAAAATTGGTTGTAGTATATCCTTCGAGCTCCTTACGAGGCTTATAGTCTGTTCAGTCAATTTGTCTACTATGCAATGTTTAAGGGGATGAAAGCGGCACTTATGCACTTTTGAATAAAAGTTAGTGTTATTTTTGTCAAAGCTTTTTATGCTCGACTGCTGGTACATAATATGCGTTTTTCAGAATGCAACAACCTAATTTTTTTTCCAAACAAAGTCCCGATGGGTTTTTCATGCTGGTGTTTCCCACGGCAGAGGTTTTTTAACTTCACGCTAAGAAAATTGAAAATTTCCAAGAATAGAGAAGTTATTGGTTTCACAACGATTTTCAAAAATCGAGTTTTCTTCATCCCATTTTAATCAGCTCTTAACCTCAAAAAATGACGTCGAATGCCGTTTGGAAAATAAAAATCGGTTCATTCGTTCGTGAGATATCGAAGGAGAAAGAATTAGAAAAAAACGTTTTATTTAACATAACTTCGAGATTTCGCAACATAATTTGGTTAAATTTGGAGCGCTTTGCATTTAAAATTAGCGAGAAGTTCCAGGGATGGCCTGCAGGGTTAACAATTAAACAAAAGAATAAACAAAAGAACAAAGTTGCAACGACGTACAAAGCGAGAATGTGTGAAATGTCATTTGAACTGATCAGTTCAACTAATCAGTTAAAACTGATGTAATCCGATTTCTACACTGGTCCCCCAATGGTCAGTATTAGAATGTACGTCAGTATAATTGATCAGTTTAACTGAACGTGTGTCGAGCATTAGATATTTCTGTGAGAAAAAGAAATGGTAATAATGTCCCCAGATTGAATATATCAGTCAAGGCGGCAAATCTCAACGGAGCCTAGCCTTCTGAGCAGGACAGTAATAATAATAATAATGTCCTCCAGCCCGAATTTCGGCCACGGCGGCCCGCCTCAACGGTAACTAGCCGTCGGCGCAGGACAGGATTATAGTGCCTGTGTATGCGCAAGCACAGGTGAACTCTCTATTCCCTCACTCTCATAATCTGATGAGACGGTGAACCGATACGACCGGTGAGAGATTAGGCGCAGGATCAACGGCTTTACGTGCTTTCCGAGGCATGGCGGTGAGACACCGTCAACTTCCTGACTTCGGGCAACTACTGAGAATTTCCTGACGGAAAAACTTAATAATAAATTTTTGGCCCGACCCGGGATTCGAACCCAGGACCTCATGATCAGCAGTCGCACTACTACAACCACTAGACCGACGAGGCAGTTACAGGACAGTACCCAGTAAGTGTAGCCCAAGTGTACATGCAACGCACTGCACAACGTAATGCACAGGTATACGCTATTCGGTACGGTATCACGAACAGAGACACCAACGGCTTTGCTTGTATTCTAAAGCATGTTGGTAAAACATTGTAAACTTCTTGACTCTGGGCTGTTACTTATAATTTCTTGATAGAAAAATTCAATAACTGCTTTTGTCCCGACCCAGGATTCGACCACTAGATCAACGAGACAGTCAAAGTTATGCGATAAAGATGTGCAAGTCAAACAAATGTAGCAATTTTGATTCTGATTATGAACCCTGCGGTATTATGTAAATATAAATATAGTTGGATACAAGTGATATTGACCGAAATTTCAATTAAAAGTGAATTGACCGTAGCCCTGATTCAAAACTCTTTTTGTTTTGAGCAGGAAAGAGTTAGTAGTAGTTAACAAGTAGTAGCCTCCAAAATACCTTACTTTATTAATACGCTATTAGTGGCGTAGTCACCTCGTTCCACATAATTATCTATTTGTAAGTCGTATGCATCGAAATTGCATTAAGTTTATTAATTTTCAGTTATTTGGCTTTAATTCACTTTATGGACTTTAATTTGATACACAAATGTAGTAGTAGCCACAAATTATAATCTCAAAGTAAAAATTTTACAGCCTATATACGTCCCACTGTTGCGAACTTCACATGTCTTCCAGATATTTTTTTCTTATTTCTCAAACATGCAGATTTCCTCGCGATTTTATATTTCACCGCCGAGCACGTGGTAAATCAACAGTTAAAATTGCAATTAACAATTTCATTGGTGCCGGCGGGAATCGAACCCTGGTTGCTCGCGTACTTTCTTCTACAGTGATCGCTAACCTTATGAGGTACCACGGCTCAATTATAATCTTGGGACTAATATATTATAAAAAAGGTTCCTAAAACTAAAACGTTAAGTGGACACATACTGTATTTAGCAGAAAATGCGAAATACGGAGTGTTCCTATTTTTGGTCACAAGTTGTCTATTGTGACATAAAAACATGTAATATTGATATAAGAAGCAAATAATACAGTTGTAAAGTTCACACACGACAAATTGCTGAGAAGGTTTAAGAGTAGGATAGAGAGATTATCACGCTGGTCTAAAGCATGTTGGTGGATTTCACTTTCACAAGCGTGCATTTTTCCCCATGACGCTGTCCTTCATACCAAGCACGGGATAAATAACATAGGAATTTATGTAGTATATGAGTAAAGTTCTAAATAAAATTTTACAACGTGTAAAATATGACAATAAGTAGACAACTCTTAAAAAATATAGCGTGTACACTTTTCACTTAAACGTCTATGCTAAGCTTTTTTAAAATTTCATAAGTATTGATTGAAGTCGTACTTACTGACTATATGAATCATAAAGGAAGCAAAAACGACCACCCAGCCCCAACCACCGTCTGGGGGCGGCGGTAGGCTCTCTGAACCCTCCCTCGAAGATTCCGGCGCTTGCACGTTGTTCCCATTCTTTGAGCTCTTCACCACGCCATGAGACATTGTTAATACTTCTTGAACAAAAACTTACAGCTATCTATGTTGTATCAATAAGGCAGTTAGACAGTTGATATGATTTATTTTAAGCGTTTATCTTCATATAATGCACATTTTTGTATTGTTCTGTGTATACTTTTCTGTGTATAGAAATATTGTCGATAAGATATGTCCGTTACAAATTATTTTCTACTGATACTAGATACTTTAAATGTGTTTATAAAATCTGTACTGAGGCACTTGGTTTTTAAAGTCTGTATGGATTTTTCTTTGTTATGGGAAGATCTTAAATAGGGAAGCTGCGGTATTTATAGAAGGGAACGTTTCGTAGGATAAAGCGACTGCAGCTATTTCTTTTATTCTCATGTGTTGTCGTAGACCATTCTGTTGTAATTTTCATCTAAGTATTATATTCGTATTCATTTTTGTTTTTACCAGCTTCTTGTAAATGCTCATTTCCTGGATACAATCAGTCACGATATCTGCAAGAGAAAAATCAACATGAAAAATCACGTGTTTTTATATTGCAACAATTGGAACACTTTCGTTATAAGATGAGAATTTTGCCAGAGTTACAAGTAACGCGTACAGATCACGTGACATCCTTCATAATTTTACTATCTGTGTCTCTCACATCCATGATAAAATGATATCAGATAGCACAAATCTTATTTCAGAATTCTGTCCTACTAGTAACAAATTCAAAAATTATCAGATGTGACAAACATACGTAACGTAGTTGATAGATCACTGTTGTAACCTGTCGATAATACTGATAACTCTGTTTCATAGTTCAAGTGATTTGTAACAAAATGATAATGAATTTAGTTTTATAAATAACCTTTTGAGAGATTATGTGTTCTACATAATATACCTATGTGTTGTAGATAGATAAAGTTCCAAATTGTAGTTATAAATAGCATATTTCAAACACACATGGCTACGTTTGTACAAAAATTGATGGGTTTTTCGTAAATAGTGACCTCAGACGATTTTCAAGTCACTACATACAATCAGAATGTCACATAGTTTATGCGATTACAACATGTATGCACCGACATACAAGTTGTAATCGTACATACTACACAGATAATAACTCTAAATATTATACGTGTGACCAAATGATAGACAGTGATAGATACAAGAATGACCAGCACATTTTAAATGCTTTAAAAAAGAAAACGATAAAAATATTATGTGCTTAAGACTATTTAAAAAAGGATTACAATTTGTACTTGGTATGATATGAATCAAACTAATGACACAACCTGGTCATAGTCATAATAATATTTAACCGAAAAATATACATAACAGTGCCTTTTCAATATTAATTATATAATATACCTATCATAAATTATTTGGTTTCCTATCAGAGTGAATAAATAAAGGTTATCGATTAGTTATTCTAGTTGGTCGGTTAGTTATAACAAAACTTTGTTAATGTGCAGAGATAAATTTGTGTAAAAAAAAAACTATTCAAAATATTTTATACAACTCAAAAAAATATCTAATAATGTTTTGCGACAAAATTTTAGTTTATACTTTATCTTTTATACGAGGTATAGCCATGCTCAAACCTTCATTACATTTACGAAGAGCTTTTTTGCCAAGGAAATTCATCTTAAATCTAAATAAAAGAGAAATAACATCACATTAAATTTATTGAATGAATTAGCAATTTTAGAACCATTTAACAGATATTGACGTAATAAAAAAACCGCTACTATTATCTGTAAATGATTACTATGTCGATACATTCACAGTAGTCAAAATTAGAAATGTTTAGTATAAGTACATGGATCAGTAACATGGATTTGAGTAACATAGTCAATTATATATTCCTTGTATTTCAAAACCTAAACGAAATTACAACAATTTTAGTCAATAATTAATATCTTTTGATTACATTAACAGGCGGTATAGAAATTATTATAAAATATTTACAGACTACTCTAAAGATGCAGGCGGAATTGGTGCAGCTGTTTTGAACCACATTGTAATCTTAGTTTACAATTTATGATAGATAGTAACATTATGCCGTGTAGTGGCGGTTGAGAATATCCACTACCCCATATCTTCCCGTGGGTGTCGTAAGAGGCGACAGAGGGAGACAGGCAGGAGATGGGCAGCAGCATCTTTCTGATAACAACTGTGTTATAATAAAAAAACTGCGGTTGCTAACCCGCTCGCCAAGCCTGGCAACTATGGCAAATATCCCCCCATGAATAACGACGCAAAAAAACGGCCCCCAGTCCCCGGCGGCCCGGCTATTCCTGGCTACGGTGGCGACCGTGGTAACGGCGGGGCAGGGGGTGCTTAGAATCTCCGGTGGAGGTTCGGTTGCCACCTACGACGACTCGACCTGGCAACATATAACGCACGCACTCTGAGGACTGACGAGAAGATACTGGAGCTGGAAGAAGAGGTAGACAAGTTGCGCTGGCATATTATTGGATTATCCGAGGTCCGAAGAGAGGGAGAGGATACGGCAATCCTCGAGTCCGGCAACTTGTTCTACCACCGGGAGGGAGACCATCTGTCCCAAGGAGGTGTCGGATTTATCGTCCACAAGTCTCTCGTCAACAACGTTGTAAAGATTGGGAGTGTGTCGACGAGGGTCGCGTACCTGATACTCAGAATCACCAAACAGTATTCGCTGAAGGTCATACAGGTTTACGCACCAACCTCGGCACATCCCGATGAGGAGGTGGAGGAAATGTATGAGGATATTTCCAGAGCCATGCATTCCTCCAAAACCCACTACACGGTGTTGATGGGAGACTTCAACGCAAAACTAGGCATAAGAGAAAGCGGTGAGCTGAAGGTGGGGAAATTTGGAGTAGGGCAACGGAACCGAAGGGGCCAGCAGCTGGCCGACTTTATGGAGAAAGAGGGACTCTTTATGATGAACTCTTTCTTCCAGAAGCGGCCCCACAGGAAGTGGACCTGGTCTAGCCCCGACGGTTCGATAAAAAATGAGATTGACTTCATTATAACGCCCAGACGCCAACTGTTCTGTGATGTCTCAGTGATCGCAAGGGTGAAAACCGGCAGCGATCACCGAATGGTTAGAGGCACACTGAACCTAAATGTTAAGTTGGAGAGGTCTCGTCTAATGAAGTCAACGCTCCGTCCCCCCTCGTGCTCTAATCCAGAATCCCGAAACCTTCCAGCTCGAGTTACAAAACCGCTTTCAGTGCCTAGAGGATTGCAATGCAGTGGACGATATTAATGACAAGCTCGTGGAAACTGTCCATGCGGTCGGAGCTAAGTTCTGCAAGACCCGCCGCAGAAGAACACAAAAACTCTCCGATCACACTCTTAATCTCATGGCTGTTAGACGGAGAATGAAGCTGCTGTCTTCAACAGATTTGGCAGTATACAGGAAACTGAACAGACAGATCTCCAAATGCATGCGGCGAGACTTACGCAACTTTAATACTGCTCGTATTAAAGAAGCGATCGAGCGGAACCAGAGCTCCAAAGTCTTTGTTAGAGATCTGTCTGCCAGAAAGAGCCAACTATCAAGGCTGAAGACTGAGTGTGGCAACATCGTTTCCGGGACACCTGAGATTCTGAGTGAGATTGAGAGGTTCTATGGGCAGCTGTACACATCATCGTTGGAGCCACACGCAAGTGTGAGTAACGATCCAAGAGCAAGTCTTATCCGACACTATTCCGATGATATCCCGGACGTCAGTCTGAGCGAGATTAGAATGGCTCTCCACCACCTTAAAAATGGCAAGGCCCCGGGCGAGGATGGAATTACAGCGGAGCTTCTGAAAGCGGGTGGAACACCGGTACTTGAAGTCCTTCATAAGCTCTTCAATTCCGTCCTCAATGGTGGCACTACTCCGGAGGCGTGGAGCAGAAGCGCGGTGGTCTTGTTCTTTAAGAAAGGCGACAACGCTCTCTTGAAGAACTACAGACCGATTTCCCTTCTGAGCCGCGTCTACGTGCTGTTTTCGAGAGTCATTACGAATCGTCTCGCACGCAGACTCGACGACTTCCAGCCTCCCGAACAAGCCGGTTTCCGAAAAGGCTTCAGTACCATAGACCACATACATACCCTTCGGCAAATTGTACAGAAGTCCGAAGAGTACAATCTGCCACTTTGCCTGGCGTATGTGGACTATGAGAAAGCCTTTGATTCCGTCGAAATTTGGGCGGTGCTACAGTCTCTTCAGCGGTGCCTAGTTGACTGTCGGTATATTGAAGTGCTGAAGTGTTTGAACAGTAGGGCTACGATGGCTATCCGAGTACAGAACCAGAGTACGAAACCTATCTAACTGCAGAGAGGTGTAAGACAGGGTGATGTTATATCCCCGAAACTCTTCACTGCTGCGTTGGAAGACGTTTTCAAGCTACTGGACTGGAAAGGATACGGTATTAAATCAATGGCGAGTACATCACTCACCTTCGATTTGCCGACGATATAGTCCTTATGGCAGAATCGCTGGAGGACCTTAGCACTATGCTCAATGACCTCAATGGTGTCTCCCAACGGATAGGTCTTAAGATGAACATGGATAAAACAAAGATGTTTTGTCCATGTTCATCTTACCGTCCATGTCACACCTATGCCGGTAGTTGTTGGGAGCACTATGCTCGAAGTTGTTGACGAGTACGTTTACCTGGGACAAATAGTCCGACTAGGTAAGTCCAACTTCGACCGAGAGGTCAATCGACGGATTCAAGTCGGCTGGGCAGCGTTCGGGAAATTACGACACATCTTCTCGTCAGGTATACCTCAATCTCTGAAAACTAAAGTGTATAACCAGTTCGTGTTGCCAGTGATGACTTACGGATCTGACGTGGTCCTTCACCGCTGGCCGTATGGGGACGCTCAAGGTCGCTCAGCGAGCTATGGAGAGGGCTATGCTCGGAGTTTCACTGCGTGATAGACTTAGAAATGAGGATATCCGCAGTAAAACCAGAGTGACCGACATAGCCCAACGGATTAGTAAGCTGAAGTGGCAATGGGCCGGCCATATAGCTCGAAGAAC